GGGGGGGGGGGGGGGGCTCCCTGCCATGGCTGCACCCGGGGACCTGGGCTCCTAGTCTTCTCTCTGAGCTGAGATTGGACTCTCAGGACCACCAGGGGCCTCCCTGTCCAGCATGGCACCACACACCCCTCCTGCCTGCCCTCCCTGGGAGCTGGGACCCTCCCACCTCTTTCTCACTCCCTCTGGGGAGGAGCCAGCTGCTCTGTGGGCGGGGCAGTGGGCAGCTCTCACCACATCCTCCTCTTCCTCCTCTTCCTCCCCACCCTGCACACACGCTGGGGCAGCGATGTCGGCAGCGGCTCCTGATGGGGGCCCTCTGCCGAGTGACTGATGGGCTCGGGGTTCAAATGCTTCTCCCTGAGTCTAACCGACAGCCTGCCTCCTGTCTGCCTGGCTAGCCCTTGCCTGCTGTCTGTCCATCCCTGTGCAGCCGATCGGTCCGCTGCCATGGCTGCACCCGGGGACCTGGGCTCCTAGTCTTCTCTCTGAGCTGAGATTGGACTCTCAGGACCACCAGGGGCCTCCCTGTCCAGCATGGCACCACACACCCCTCCTGCCTGCCCTCCCTGGGAGCTGGGACCCTCCCACCTCTTTCTCACTCCCTCTGGGGAGGAGCCAGCTGCTCTGTGGGCGGGGCAGTGGGCAGCTCTCACCACATCCTCCTCTTCCTCCTCTTCCTCCCCACCCTGCACACACGCTGGGGCAGCGATGTCGGCAGCTGCTTCTGAGGGACCCGCTGGGGGCCCTCTGCCGAGTGACTGATGGGCTCGGGGTTCAAATGCTTCTCCCTGAGTCTAACCGACAGCCTGCCTCCTGTCTGCCTGGCTAGCCCTTGCCTGCTGTCTGTCCATCCCTGTGCAGCCGATCGGTCCCTGCCCCAGGATGACCCTCTTCTGTCCGTGTCTGACCTCTCTGGGACGTGACTGACCACTGCGTGGCCTGCCTGCCCAGGGCCCAGCTCCCATCTGTCCAGGGGGCAGGTTGTATCCTGTCTGGTTGATGACTCGGTGTCGGCTGTGGATTCCCGTCCTAGAGCCCTGCCTGTCCTCCCACCACACGGAACCCAGCTGCCCCCCTGGGAGCCCCCTGAGTGGCCAGAGCTCGCGGAATGGACGTCTGAGGAAGAAGCTGGAATAGCAGGTAACTCCTCGACGCTGGGGCAGGGGCACCTTCTCTGCCCAGGAGGGCCCAGTACTCGCCTGAAGTGGAAGGGCCAGGAGGGGTCCCGGGCCCTCAACACAGCTGGGGACATGAGTGAGGCCAGCAGAGTTGGCTGGAGTCTCCTGTGCAGCCCGGCTCAGGGGGCCGGAGGGCCTTGGCGTGGGTCTGCTGGCGGCCTGCGGGCCTGGGGCAGGGCATGGCCAGGTGCCCCGGGGGCTCTCTGTAAACCCAGCCTCCCAAAGGCAAAGGGCTGGGGAGGGAAAGCCGGTTCTAGATCCAATGTGACTCGACAGTCCCCGAGGTTCTGGGCAGCTGAGCTGGGCGGGGTGGGCTGGGTGAGACCCTGTGTGGCGGCCAGGGGGCCCATTTTGGGGGTGAGTGGGAGGCATCAACGTGTGCCAACTTCTGTGTTGTATCTCTGTTTTACCCAATCCTTCAAAATGAGTTGGTGCGCCCATTTCACAGACAAAGGACTGAGGCTCTGAGAGGTAGAAAGATTTTCCCAAGGTGACTCAGGCAGGTGACTGGGGGGCTGGTCCTGCCCTCCACGTGCTGTCTCCTCATCCCTCGCATAAAAGAACGGGACCGGGCAATGAGGGGCAAACTGGTGCTGTGCGCCGCATGGAGGCGAGGAGAGCGGAGAGCGCCGGGGGCTGGGGGCTGAGGCTGAGCCTTGAAGGGTGGGTCCATTTCTGACTGTGAAACAGAGGTGAAGGCAGGGACAGGCACACTCCTGGCAGGGGAGCGGGGACAGCAAGCGCCTGGAGTGGGAACCTAGGATTCATGGAAGGAATGGCAAGTGCTGCTCAGCCGGAGCAGAGG